TTTAGTTTTTTGAGACAGGGTCTCACTGTGTACTTGAGACTGACCTGCAACTCACTATGTAGTCCAAGCTGGTCTCGAACTCACAGCTATCCTCCTGCCTCAGTCTCCCGAGTGCTGGGATTACAGGCGTGCGCCACCACGCCCGGCCTTACATAGCTTTTTAATACACTTACTTTAAAAAAATCAGTTTAGTAGCTTTTTCTAAATCCTTTTAAGAACACTTTTAATCTTCTGAATTGCATAGGTTAGCTAGTTACGCTGTGTTTTATGTCTTTATAAAAGTAGCATCAGAAAGTAAAGGACCCCATATTGATAAGCTACTCAGGGCTCCTGGGCCTCATTATATCTGGAAAATTAAAAATAATTAAGAGGAGAGCGTGGGATGTGGCAAGGATGAGTCAGATGGGTTGAGCCCATGAGGCGAGTGGAAGAGTATTGGCACAAAAGCACCATCCTCATGAAAAACTGCACCTCAGCAGCTGGGCATCCACGGCTGTTCTGATGGTTCTCATTTACTTTTTAATAAGATAGCTTTCTTATAGGTTCGGCAAAAGCCTTCAAACACGGAAGATTTTATTGAGGATATTGTAAAGCTCGTTAATGGGAGATACAAAGGACAATCAGGTAATATAAAAGCAAACCAACTTTGGGAACTGAAAGGTAACTTGCAAAGAATAACCAATTCCAGTGATAATTGTAGGGATAGATGACTAATATCTAAAATATTAACATGTGGCAGAAGGTACTTGAAAATGTAATACAGTTAAGTCACTTGATAATCTTAGAAACTGGGTGACATTTGCTCACGTCACATTTTATGAGTCATAGAACTCTCTGATTCACTTTTGTTTATTTACACTTAATTCCTTCAGAATGGGCCCGATGACAGTGTTAATTTTCAGAGGCACATATTTAGCTAAGTATCTGCTGTGTACAAGATAATGGGGTTAAGCACTGATGTTGTTCTAAAGGGCTATAGAATATGATATCTTATAGTAAAGGAAACATTAAGGAAATAAATAGCACTTAATAGGTGGGGATTAAACACTTAAACACTGGAGATTTACAGTGTTTCAGCACATTGGAAGCTCTGACCAGCCCTGGGTAGAGAACAGAGATGCTTCTTTAACTTTGTTGAGTGCAGTATTTACCAAACTAATTTGCACATGAAGTTCTTTTTTCTCACCATACTTATTAACATAGAGTGATGGGACATTAGATTAAGAAATACTATGTAGTGGCAGATAAAGTTGAAGAGAGAAAAGAAGTAGTAGGATCCAAAACTGGTGGCTCAGGGCTCATTTCTGTATTAGAGCAAGATGGTGATCAATTCTTGAATTACACCCAAATATTGCTATGTGTTTAAAGCCTTAGAATTTCTCATACTTCTTGTTTTCTTTGTGTACATTGTATCAAACAGTGTCGTGGAATATATCATATATATTTCTAATACCTTGTATCTTACTGCAGGAATCATATATTGTTTTTCTCAGAAAGACTCTGAACAAGTTACTATTAGTTTACAAAAGTTAGGAATTCATGCTGGGGCTTACCATGCCAATATGGAACCAGAAGATAAATCCAAAGTTCACACAAGGTGGTCAGCTAATGAACTTCAGGTTAAGTATATATCTTCAACAAAGCCTAATGTCTTTAAAACTATTTACTTGACTTAATTAACTAATACAGTGTTAAAACATTTTAGGTAGTAGTGGCAACAGTTGCATTTGGTATGGGAATTGATAAGCCAGATGTGAGATTTGTTATTCATCATTCAATGAGTAAATCCATGGAAAATTATTACCAAGAGAGTGGACGTGCAGGTATGTAGAACTCAAATCCAGAAGTAATTTTTAGAAACCTTTTCCAGAAGGCATATTACAAACATTTAATAATTCTGCATTTTAAAATCTTTATTGGTAGTACTTTGAGAACAAACAATGAAATCTTTTTACCAGATTTGTATGTATTTTCATAGGGAGAAATTTTACATATGTGCTATTGGGATGTTATGCATTGTTTCATATATGTTCTAAGATAATTTGATAATCATTTCTGTCTCTTGAATTTTTAACTAGAAGTTTCAAATCTATAGCTTAAATAATTGGGTAATTTTGGTCACATTTTACAACTTAATAAAGCTAATGTTGATAAATCTCTACTCATTTTCTTTAAAAAAAACTTGAGAGTAGCTCTTACAAATTAACTTTGACATACCTAAATTTCTAGACATAAAATGAAATTTTTCCAGCTCATTTTACATAATTTTTGCATGTTACGAATTTTTAAAATAATTATGCAATCTCAGGGTTTCTCAATCTACAGGTCGAGATGACATGAGAGCAGACTGCATTTTGTATTATGGCTTTGGAGATATATTCAGAATAAGTTCAATGGTGGTCATGGAAAATGTGGGACAACAGAAGCTCTATGAGATGGTATCGTACTGTCAAAACATAAGCAAGTGAGCCATATTCCTTTTTATAATTTGTCAATTAAAGATAAGCATGATATTAAAATGTATGGTATTTTGAGTACTTATTAACCCCACAGTACAGGGCTGTTAGAGCAGAGGTCTGAGGGTAAACTGGCACACAAACCTTCTATGATCTACTCAATACAAAAAAGATGGTCTTTGAAGCACTCCTCCAAAACTAATTTTTTTATTGAAGGTTTCGATACACGTCAACAGTAAGATGAAGCCACTTTTCTCCAGCATTGGGGTACAGCCATGTGCTTTGACAATTTTGAAAAGTTGTGTGATAAGATGGGCATTTTGAGGGTGAGGCTCAGTGTCACTTGCCATTCTCTGAGCTGATGTGTCAAAGAAATAATCCAGGACAGGGTCAAGTTTCTCTTTATGCATTTGAATCTACTTAAGAGTGCCATTAGGTACAGCTTCCTGATGGCCTCTTGGTCCTTGTTACCTTTGTACTCAATCACAGGAGAGCTCAAAATGTTGAAATGGGAAACAATGACCCGACAGTGATAGATGGTTGTGTTTTCTTTCCACTAGGTACTAGAGTTAAAAGAAATGAAAATTTTGTTAGAAATCCAGTAGATTTCCAGGAAGCATATTTTGGAGTTTCAAATCAAATATCGATACTTTAAAATATAAGAAACTCCTTTACTGTCAAGAATGTTCTTAGTAGTTGTAAAATAATGAATCTCAAAAGGACAGATAACTTAAGCAGTGGTTACCATATAGAAAAAAATTACATGTAGCGAGTGGGCAGCATGTAGATGTCCAGATCACTGCAAAGGGAAATCAAAGTTGCTGATGGAATTGAGGTTGCTACTCAGCTGTCCTTTAAATAGAATTATTTTAGATTATCTTTGTGGGTCCGGTATAATCACAAAGGTCCTTAAAAGTGGAAGAGGAAGGCAGATGGATGAGACTCAATCCACTGTTGTTGCTTTAAAGATGGAAGAAGGGGCCAAGAAGTCAGGAATGTGCACCCCCTCTATGAACTGGAAGAGGCAAGGACACAGATTTTCTCTCTGAGAACCTCCGGAGGAAATCCTGTCCTGCTGACACATTGATTTTGACTCAGGGAGATGTGTATTAGGCTTCAAATTTGTGTTGTTTTAAGCTATGGTTTGTAGTTATACCATAGTAAACTAATGAATTATGTAACTGTGTATTCTGAAGTAGTTTCTTAAAACTTTATTAGCTCATTTAATAATTTGTATCTAAATGTCATTGTAGATGTCGCCGTGTATTGATAGCTCAACATTTTGATGAAGTATGGAACTCAGAAGCATGTAACAAAATGTGTGATAACTGCTGTAAAGATGCTTGTAAGTCTGCTGTTCTTGAACCTTTATAGGCTTATCATACACAGCTAGCATTAAATAAAGTATTAAGCTCCAAAATGGATTTAAAAGATTAAACAAGGTGTGACCAGAATTTTCCAGGTTTCAAAAAGAAAAAAAAAGGTGGTTAAGTCTTTGGTGTATACATACGTTTTATACTGGCTATACTGAGGACATGTGAAATTTTTGAGACAAAAAAATTGTACTTTCTCTGAATAGAAATGCTCTTATAAAAAGAAAAGACCAACCTTATGATAATCTCTAATACTTTATAGTCACAGATTGGGAAGAAAATTTAGTGGAAAATAGATTCCAGTAAATCATTCTTGATAATGAAAGCTACTCATTAGACATTAATTTAGCAATGTTTTGCTGCTATACAAGATGTGACAGAAAAATATGCATGTTTAAATTTTTAAAAATTTATTACAGTGAAAGACACAGTGCCATCAATCCCTCTCAAAATAGTCAGTCCCTCTTGCTTCAAACATATTTATCCATTTGTTCTTGCTGAAGTCCTCTCCCTGGGGAGTCTTTATTTGTGATGTCACATTTTCCTTTTATGGGCATTTTGACTTTGAGGAAGAACTAGGAGTTGCACGGTACCAGATCTATTGAATAAAGTAGACAAGGATGCATTGTAATGCTTTTGACGGAAACAGCCATAAACATTTGATCGAGGTGTGACTGAAAAGTTTAGTAAATTATAAAATATTTATTATAGTAAAGACACATTGCCGTTAATCACGCTCAAAATATTTCCCCTTGCTTCAATTCCATTGTTCCTGGCTGTGTGTCTTTTACTGTCATAAAGTTTTAAAAATTTAAATGTTCACCATATTTGTCACTTACCCCTTGTATTTAAATTTTTTCTTTTTTCATTTTGTACGTGTCGTTCCTGAAAAATCAGACTAACCAGATCCTCATATAAGGCCTTATTAGTTCTGATGCCTGGGTGGGTGGTGGTCACTACACTTTTAACTTTGTAGCTAGAGCAACTTAGCAGTTTATTAGACTGTTATAATGACCAAATTAACAGGAGCCTGATATGTAAATCAAAGTGCTCATCTCTTAATTAATCACTATTTAGGAGGTTCTTATCTGTACACACCCATACTCATTTTTAGAATTGGACTTAATGTATACAAATTAGATTAACTATTATAAGGCATGCCTCCTAGTAAACGTCTTACAGACAATATTTGGTTGCTAGACCCTTCTCATAACCACTATTTCTTTTACATCACTATAAATCCCACAATCTGTTATAGAGACCAGAACTTGGTGTAGCAAAAAAACTTGAACAATTTAGTTTTAATTCCGAGCACATTACAAAAAAAAAAAAAATGAAAACAAATCAAACCAATTTAATCACATAGGATATAGTATCCTTGCCCTCATTTCTAAATCCCACTTGTCAGAAACCATGCTTCTTTCTTTGATTGCAGCATTTGAAAAAAAGAACATAACTGCATACTGCAGAGATCTAATCAAGATCTTGAAGCAGGCAGAGGAACTGAATGAAAAACTCACTCCTCTGAAACTCATTGATTCTTGGATGGGAAAGGGCCCAGGGAAACTGAGAGTGGCTGGTGTTGCTGCTCCCACACTTCCTCGTGAAGACCTGGAGAAAATAATCGCACACTTTCTTCTACAGCAGTATCTTAGGTATCCATCTAATTACTGTCCTTTCATTTTATATTTATGGTTGCCTTTGGTTTTTATAAATGACTTTGTAGGTATTTCATCTAAACTTTTAAATACTATAGAAAACAACTACCTAATAAACTCAAGCCTTAACTGATTGCTGTAAATCAAAAAAGCAGAAAACTATAGTAGTACCTCAGTTCACAAACTTAATTTGTTCTACAGTTTTGGAAAAAATGGCTGTGTTTATGTTGATGTGGGAAGATGGCCGCGGTTGTTTGTCACCTGATATACCTTTCATCTAAACTTTTAAATACTATAGAAAACAACTACCTAATAAACTCAAGCCTTAACTGATTGCTGTAAATCAAAAAAGCAGAAAACTATAGTAGTACCTCAGTTCACAAACTTAATTTGTTCTACAGTTTTGGAAAAAATGGCTGTGTTTATGTTGATGTGGGAAGATGGCCGCGGTTGTTTGTCACCTGATATACCCC